CGTTCGATTTTTCGTTCATTTCACTGCCATTTTACTGATCAGAGAGAGAATGGGAACTATAATATGCGGCACCATCCACTCTCTTTACTGTGGTCCGCTCCACTTGCCGTCGCACACGTCATCGCTTACGATGCCTTCACGCCTAGGGCTTGCGACCTGTTTGGAGCTCCCATCCACAAAACTTAATTAATCTACCTTCATTGAAATTTTGCTTAAATAGATATATATAAAACACACCATATTTCTTGAATCCGTAAATATGATTATTTTTATACTATGACATCACAATTTAAAATCTATATACATTCTATTTACGAGAATTAGTAGTAAGAAAAGTCAAACGAAATTAATGCATTCTATTTTCATCAAGTATTTTATTTAATTATTTTAGTTAATTGTTTTATCTCATAATAACACCTTTTCAATACAACTTATCATGATTTTTCTATTGCGATTAAAAACCAAAATTTACGTTTAAAATCTTGTGAAATTATTATTATTATTTTTACAAAGCACATATTATTTGTTAAAAAAATGTAATCCTCCCTATATATAATTCCTGAATGCGCTGAGCCTACGTGGCTGCTTCTAGTGCTTCGGAATCCTACTTGGCGAGAATCATGCTTCGTAATTAGGTTTGGACAAATAATATTGATATATTAATAATTAATAATCTAGGTTTGGACATTCCATAAATATTATTTAGCTAACTTAGGTATTTTAATATCATTGTACTAATATAACTCTTTAATTCCTTGTAATCTAGTGAGACACTAAGTGATCAATATATCCTTGACTTTTGATTTGTTTCCTTCAATTAGCTAGTGAATTGTAAATATATTTTAAAAGTTGATAACTTTTGTATTTCTTATCGGTTTACATATATAACTAGTACAACGCCCGTGTATTACACGGGTGCTTGCTAATTTTTTTCTTAAAATCTAAAATAATAAGAAAAAGTAGTCGAAATTTAAATACTTTTTATAAAAATGTATATATTATTATATATTTAGTATGACATTTTTTATTTGTGCGACTTACCTGTGTCATATTATAATAATTTTTTTAACTTATAAATATAACTACTTTAAGCATAAATATATCAATTGAGAAATAATTTTATTTTTTTATGAATTTTAATAAATATTATTTTTTATTATTATAAAGATAAATATAATTTATTTATTTCATATATACAATATGGATGTCAAATCGAAGATCATCAAAAGATGATTAATTTGATATATTATATATGTAAAACCGATAAGAAATAAAAAAGTTATCAACTTTTTAAAATAAATTTACAATTCTATAGCTAATTGAAGGAAACAAATCAAAAGTCAGGGATATATTAGTCACTTAGTGGCTCACTATGTATAATTACAAAAAATTAAAGGGTTATATTAGTACAAGTGATATTAAAATACCTAAGTTAGCTAAATATTATTTATAGAATGTCTGAACCTAGATTATTGATTATTAATATATTAATATTATTTGTCCAAACCTAATCACGAAGCATAATTTTTTCGCCAAGTAGGATTCCGAAGCACCATAAGCAGTCACGTAGGCTCAGCGCATTCGGGAATTATATATAGGGGTGATATATCAAATTAATCATCTTTTGATGATCTTCGATTTGACATCCATATTGTATATATTGAAATAAATAAATTATATTTATATTTATAATAATAAAAAATAATTATATTTATTAAAATTCATTAGAAAAATAAAATTATTTCTCAATTGATATAATTATATTTAATGTAGTTATATGTTGCAAGTTAAATAATTATTATAATATAACACAGGTAAGTCGCACAAATAAAAAATGTCATACTAAATATATAATAATATATATTTTTATAAAAGGTATTTAAATTTTTAACTATTTTTCTCATTAATTTTAGATTTTAAGAAAAAAAAAATTAACAAGCACCCGTGTAATACACGGGAGTTGTACTAGTTATATATATAATACACATCACAGTACCATGGTAGATGATTTAAATTTCAACCGACCAAAATATGAATCATTTAAATTTGAACACACTAATGCGTTTGACCAAATGTCTGAATTATTTAAAATTGGGCCCATAAAAAGTTATTTAAATTTGAACACACTAGAAATTTTATGTACTTTTTATTTATAAATATATTGAGAAAATAAATCGAACCGAACCGAACCTGACTTATGTGAAACGGTAACCGAAACCAGTTACCGAAATGTTACCGATTCGGTATCAGTTCTGATTTTGTCCCTTCTCAACTAATTTTTTGATTTCGCCCTCTATTTGAGTGGCAAGTTTAATTAAAATTTTTTTTTTTCCCTTTAATGAGCAAGAGGTAAAATTGTAAAAACATAATGACTGTGGACTAGAGCAAAGGTAAAGTACATATAGCAACTTCTTTTAGCAAATTATAGAAGAGGAAATTATATGGGGAACGACTTAACAGCAAATTATTTGCATTTATACGGTTAAAACATAAATTTTAGCATAATTACAAAATACTGAAACTTTATTTGCATATATACCATACAATTAATATAGATACAGTTTCCAATAAAAAATCAAAGCTAACTCCCCAAAATCACGCGTTATTACTCCTTATCTCTCCCACGACTAAACCAATTACCCCTCAATCGTATGTTTCTCTTCAGTAAACCCTACTCTTCACTTTTATGGCCAAAACCAAGATTCCTTCATAGCCGGTAACCCCCTCAATCGCGGCGCCGGTGTGGATGCACATAAGCGGTGTGGACTCAGAAGGCGGCGTTCGCCGATTCGAAGTGGAGGACCTGCAAGGCGACGAGCGCGGGGCTTTTCCCAAAAAAGAATAAAACGACATTTACGGAGGCCGAACTGGGTTCGCCGAAGTTCTCATGTATGGGGAGAGTCAGGTCGATGAGCGGCCGGCGTCGCGCGAATCCACCGGGATGAAGGGAAAAACGACGGAGAAATCAGGGATTGGCGGCGGCGAGTGGAGATCTAGTTTCTACGCCAAGGTAATGGAGTTTTCTGTTTTAAGAACGGGAGTAGGAGACCGCTCCGGTTGGGGAGCGGGAAGGTGGTGGAAGGGCCGGAGGAGGAGCCGCCGCAGAGGTGTTGCAGGAAATTCGTAGATCAATCTGTACATTGAAATTAGTTTATGATCAGTATATGTACAATATATGTACAACATATGTACATATATTGTGCACAATTATTGTACATCTTATTTATGTTCGGTATATTAGTTTATGTACAAATTAGTTTCTAAATGGATGTTTGTTTTTATGTTTTCAATGTTTTTCATAGTATATGTTTGGTATATTATAAGATTATTTTGTTGAAACGAAATTGACAAGCATAATTGATTTATTTATTTATTTGTTTTTGTGTATATGTATGATTTATGATTAAGTATATTTCGACATATTATCACTCTTTTTTTTTCTTTTAGGAAATCCGCAGATCAGTATGTGCATTAAAATTATTTTATGATCAGTACATGTACATATACTGGGATGTGTACAATTATTGTATATCTTAGTTTATGTTTGGTATATTAGTTTATGTACAAATTAATTTGTGAATGAAGGTTTGTTTTTCTATTTTCAATATTTATCATAGTTTATGTTTGGTATATTATAAGATTTTTTAGTTGAAATTAAATTGACAAGCATAAATTGATATATATATATATATAGATATATATATATATATATATATATATATATATATTTTGTATATGTGGTTTATATTAAGTATATTACGGTATATGATAAAAAAAATATCGTGAGACATAATTTTTATATATAAAATCAATTTATATTCAATATACATTGATTCTTTTTTAATCAAATTTGAAATATTGTTTTTTAGGATTCTATCTTCAACTTAATTTTGTATATAGCTTACCATATATATATTTTTTTTTTCATTTATGGAAGAATCCCGTAATTCAAGGGACTATCAAAGGGTTTGTGGAAAAGTCTTTTCTCTCCCTTCTGTTACACAATCTAGCATTAATATAAATTTTTATGGTCAAGTAGGTATGTTTGCAAATAAATAATTGTAGCTAGTAATTTTACAAATATTTATCAATCGTTTACGGTAAGTATGTAAATGAGCCATTATAGAATAATAACTTGGCAATGGGCACGTTGGGCCGCCGTTGTGCTCTGCTGCATGCGCCCATTATTATTGCTGAATGTTGGTTGAACGTGTCTGCTGTCATAATTGTGCTAATTAGACAATGGTACACGTTTCATAACATTGGTCACTTTATATTGATGGTATAAAATATAAAGGGATCACGACTAATTAAAAAAAAAATGCACAATGAGATGTAAAAAATGTTAACTATAGAATAAATAGCTTGGAGATTTCTTTTTATTTTTTATATTTTTTATATTTTTTGCAATATAACGATTGATACTTATGTAACTTTTATGTATCACACTAAAACTATAATTAGTTAGTTCCAATAGTAATTATTAAATAATATAATAGTTAACAAATACAAAATACTAGCACAACGCTCGTGTATTACACATGTGCTAGCTAATTTTATTTTCTTAAAATTTAAAATTAATGAGAAAAAGTAGTTGAAAATTTAAATACTTTTTATAAAAAACATATATCATATTTATACTTATATAAAAAGCCATCATATTTACTAAAATTAGTACTAAGAAAAGTCAAAGGTAATTAATGCATTCTATTTCCATTAAGTGTTTTACTTAATTGTTTTATCTCATAACACATTTTCAATACAACTTACCATAATTTTTCTATTGTGATTAAAAACCAGATTTTACATTTAAAATCTTGTGAAAATATTGATATTATTTTTATAAAGCACATATTATTTGTTAAAAAAATTGTATATATATACACATCACAGTACCATGGTAGATGATTTATATTTCAACCGAACAAAATGCTAATGATTTAAATTTGAACACACCTATGCGTTTGACCAAATGTCTGGATGATTTAAAATTGAGCACATAAAAAATTATTTAAATTTGAACACACCAAAAATTTTATGTACTTTTTATTTATAAATATATTGAAAGTGGTATTTAATGCATGTTATATATTATAGTTATATTATCAAATTATAAAAAGATATTAAATCCATATTGTAAAAAAATAATTCATATAATTTTATACTACACTATTTAACAGTATTCCTTTTTATTATATAATAAAATAATAATTAAATATTATATAGTGAACAAGAATAAGTGAAATTGTTACTTTCTCTTATATTAATGGATAAATTTATATGCTAAAATTAAATTTTTATTAGTATAAATTTAATTTACAAGCTAGCCCTAACATGCTCATATTTAATGTTCTGGCTAAAAAACAGCGTTGGTTAGAAGATGTGTAAAAAAACTTACAACCCTATTTTTTTAGACTTAACATTGATTAAAAGAGGTCGAAAATAGATAATAACCTATTACTTTTTAGACTTAAACGAAAAAAACTGTGAAAATAAGTCATTTAATATCTATGTCTCGTGCATCGCACGGGGCACGTACTAGTATATTTTAGTATGACACATGTTACTTGTATGACTTACTTGTGTTATATTATAATAATTTTTCTCACTTATAACATAAACATTAAGCATAAATATCTTAATTGAGAAATAAATTTATTTTTCTAATTAATTTTAATAAATATTTTTTTATTACTATGAATATAAATATAATTTATTTATTTTATATATACAATATGAATGTCAAATCGAAACTCATAAAAAATGATTAATTTGATTAAAAAAAAAACAACACATGGAATTTTGACACATAAGAATCTGAAGCATGCGAGCCAGCCATTTAGGCTCAGCACATTTGGGAAGTTTATATAGGGGGATAATGGTTTATTATCATAATTAACTGAAAAAATATACAGAAACGAGATAGACTTACCATTTTCAGGTCTTGCCAAGGCTTAATTAGCACCTAGTTTTTCAGACATACCAATAGAATTATTAGAATCCTTAAAACCCATGATACATAAAGGAAGCTCTTCCACAGGGTCTAGCTTCTTCCATGTCAAACCAAAAGGCATCAATCAAAATTTTGTTACCTGTTTGGGAATCTCCGGATCTATGCTTATTTTCAACTCCCCGAAGCTGTTAGTAGTAACAGCTAACAAGGAGCCTCCATATCCTCAATGCTCTTGTTGCATCATAATCAATCAATACTCACACAGGTAAAGATAATATCAAAATATAAAACCAACAACTAACAAAAATTTAACATACAGAAAATCTCGACAACTCATGCCGCTGGTAAACTTCATGCCAGACGCCGCCAAGTGCCAACAGGAGAATATGCACTCGGAAAATCCAAGACATGGGATAACATATACACAGCAGATCCTTACCAATCCACAACAACGAGACAAAATCAAAGATCTACATGCAAATACATTAAGCAACTATAACATTATGAACAAGCATGCATAGTCTAAACAAATGTTATTATACACAGCATATAAAATACAAGGTACATCATATTGTAACTCAATTTAGACCGTCTTCTGTAGTTTCTAATAATTTAACCCATTATACATTTTCTTCCACTACCCTTTGCACACGTGATAACAAGAGGGACATTCACATCCAAGAATCAGATGAAAGGATAAACCTAGAAAAAAAAAAACGTATCACCAGAAATCATCATAAAAATCTCCAGACGAAGAAGAAGACGAGCGCCGGTCATCATCCGCCTCGACCTCCATCTCCATCTCCGGTTCATCCAACCCAAACTCAGGCGACTCAATATCCGCAAGATTTTTCAAATCCACCACAGAGAGCTCATCAAGCCGCGTCACCACTATATCTGCCGCCCCAAGCTCGTACACTCGATGCTTGCTAGCAACCGCAACACATTTCATCCGCGCATCACGGGCAGCCTCCACAGTCAGATTCGAGTTCCCGATGACTATACACCTCTCGGGTATGAACTGCAGGAGCTGGCCTGCATAGGCATACATCTCCGGGTCGGGCTTCCCCCTGTGCACGTCCTCGGCTGCCACAATCACACTAAACACATTCTCGAAGCCGATGACCGCAATTGCCATCTCAAGGTACTTTCTCGGCCGAGTGGAGACCAGGGCCATAGGCACCTTGTGGTTCATCAGGACGCTGACAAACGATTGCGAGCCCGGACGGAACTTGTAATTCCCACCATGCAGAGCCTGGTATATGTCCTCCTTTCTGGATGACATTCGTTTTAACTCACCCGGGTCCCGCGACCAGCAGAGAACCTCTCCGAGTGCCTGCTCGCTTTTCATGCCTTCAATCCTCGGGAGCATGAAGGCGGGTGGGGGAGATTTTCCTTCTTCCAGGGCAAGAGTCAACCAGGCTTGCCTCTCATGATCGGGATTGTCCTCAACCAGAACACCTTCCCACTCGAATATGACACCTAACCAGCCACAGCCCATCCTTTCTTGTCTGAGCAAAGGGTTATTAAGGGCGGGATTATCTGCTTTGTTCTCGGGCGGCCATAACCCGGGCCGGTTATCCATGCCAGTGTCCGCTTGACCCCAAGGGTCTTTACGAATTCGGTCCTTTTCGCGGTACGAGTATGCCTCTTTGGTTAATTCCATGGCTTGAGCCTTTATTATGGACCGCAATTGCTTCTCCTCCATACATGATGCCGACCATGAGACTTGAGTGTCCAGAAATTTGGTAAAAGACCTTAGCAGGCGGTAATTGACTAGCTTTTGCTTATTTGGGACATACTTGCGGTGATAGATCCGGTTAATGGGTTGGTGGACCAAAAGGGATGTAGCGGCAATTGACTCCACCATTGTTATTCTTCGACACAAACCTCAACAGCACAAGTATAATAGGTTTCACAATGTAAAGGGAGATGTTGGAAATTGATTAATCTTAGCTCCGATAATTTCAATACTATGTGCACTCTAGCCTTTTATTTGCATAAGGAAAGAGTAAAGATCCAAACTTTACTCCGAACCCATCAAAATAACAGTTCAATTCCAAGATTTATGAGATACCGAATGGGCAAAAACAGAAATTTTGAAAAGGATTGAACTATAAAACCCAAATCCCTTATAAACATATACAGTAAAACCAAACTATTCAGGTACAGAAATTCATACAAATACCTGAAGAGAGCACAAAATTACCCCGTGTGTCAATGTGTTCGTATATGTATTTACAGACAAATTGAAGGATGAAGAGCAACCTCAAACCTGGTGAATTGGGTCGCAAAAGTAAAGTGTAGGGAGACGGAGAAAGGGAAGGAAGAGGGGATTTTTTATTGTTTGTAGATGATTGATGAAATTGAAGAAATGGCTTCTGTTTTTCCGCTTTGTGTGGCCTATAAGCATTCGCGGGGCCAAGTTTATATCCAACTAGTTGTAACTTGTGCATTTGCACAAAAAGTGATAAAGAATAAAATAATAAAAAATATAAATAATAGTAAAAATCATAATATAATCATTAAAAAATATTTTAAAAAAGAAAAATCTAAATATTATTAAACATATTTTCATATACAACGTTTAGTTTTGCTATCGTCAGAAATCTCAGTCACCACAAATCATTATTTTTTCAAACTCCTATGACTCGTAAAGTCGACTTGAAATTTAAGACGGCTTAGTTAGCCCATTAGACTTAAAAGTTTGAACAACAAATGTTAAGTTTTTTTTTTTTTT